CAAAAAGGCTATTATTTTTTAATTTAGTGAATGGTAACTTTGCAAGCCATGGTATAGCTTGGAAAAGACATCTTGGTTTTCCCTGAAGGATGCAGTACCTACAAGTGCTTTTAAAGGAAAGGCTGCTCTGAATATCCTTATGTCTACAGTGTGTTTGTCTTCCTGGTCTTAATGTAACCATTCAAATTATAGCTACTGGACATTTATTTTCAATATATCATATAAAGAAATGGATCATAAATGCAAGACTTGTTCCACATTTATGAATCATAGCTATTTATAAAATGAGAAAAACATTTCTTCATGACACTGTAATGCCAGTTTTTCAAATACCATTATAATGACTTTGAATACATTCCTCAAGTGGTATATATAAACAATATATTTGGTATCTTGAACATAATACTTAGAAAAAATCTAATTTTCATTTTAAGGATACCAGGATTTTTTTAAAAAACACCAATAATTGACTTGATCAAGATCTAATACCGTGTTTCCCCAAAAATAATACATCCTCCGAAAATAAGACCTACTTACAGGTTTCCTTCTGGGTGAAATATAAGGCACCCCCTCCCCCCCCGAAAATAAGGCCCTCCTAGGCTAAACATGAGAGAGTTGGTCCACTGATTCTGAAAGAAATGGAGTCACAAGAAATTCACCAGGAAATTCAGGAATTGGATTGTTGTTATGATGTTCCAGAAGATGATGACATGATTGTCATTGAATAAATGAGTAAATTCTTGATACTGTAGATTCACAGTTTGTCTGGTTTATGTTGACAACTCCAGTACTACCATACCGTATACAGGTAATAAATTTCCTTTATTTTCATTTAACAATAAATGTGTACCATATTCTTCTTCATGAAAAATAAGACATCCCCTGAAAATAAGACCTAGTGCATCTTTGGGAGCAAAAATTAATATAAGAAACTGTCTTATTTTCTGAGAAACAGGGTATTTCTCCCACATGTAATGATTTTCCTCACCTGGAGTTTTTAAAAAATATACTGGGCAAATCTAAAAAAAAAAAAAAAAAAAATATGTAACCGTGTGGTGATAGGAGTTATGGGGGGATAAATGATGATGGAAGGAGACCTGATTTGGGGTGATGAGCACACAATACAGCTTACCCATGATATGTTGTGGAATTGTGCACTTGAAACCTGTAAGTTGTTAACCAGTGTCACGCCAATAAATTCAATAAAAACCATATGCAAACACTGTAGTTAAAGAAACACTGCAGCGGACGCCAACCTTTCAGATCTCACAGGCCACGGGCTGGCAACCGCTGCTCCAAAGGTTTCCTAAGTCAGCGGTTACCAACCTTTCAGACCACCGATGGGCTGCTGCTTTAGAGAGTTTAACAATTATCCTAACTTTTGTGCATATGACAGAACACTAGGCTTAACCTTCCCTTTTTTTTTCTTATTTTTTAGACTTTAAAGTTCCTTCTATGATTTTTTTAGAGACAGCTTCAATACAATGCAAGCCACTCAACTATGTTAACCAAAATATTGATTTTTTTAAATATATATTTTATTGATTTTGTACAGAGAGGAAGGGAGAGATAGAGAGCTAGAAACATTGATGGGAGAGAGTCATCGATCAGCTGCCTCTTGCACACCCCCCACTGGGGATATGCCCACAACCAAGGTACATGCCCTTGACCGAAATCGAACCTGGGACCCTTCAGTCCCCAAGCCAACGCTCCATCCATTGAGCCAAACCGGTTTCGGCCAAAATATTGATCTTTAACAATTACAGCAAACCAATCTGGTTCGGCATACCCTGTTTCCCCAAAAATAAGACAGTGTCTTATATTAATTTTTGCTCCCAGAGATGCGCTAGGTCTTATTTTCATGGGGATGTCTTATTTTTCCATGAAGAAGAATACGTAACATCACTGGTTGCTAGACGCCAGTCGGGGCGGCCCTAGCAACCAGTTTAGGGTAAATTAGTTTTCATTCTGAGACAGAGCCAGGGGGGCTTTATTTTCAGGGGAATGCCTTATATTTCACTCAGAAAGAAACCTGTAAGTAGGTCTTATTTTCGGAGGATGTCTTATTTTGGGGGAAACACGGTAGTAGAGAACAATTATAATAGCTTAGCACTACCAAAACCAAATGTTACCAAATAACCATAATCTATAGCTTTCATTGGCCTGAGGAATACTGATAGGATCATTTCCCTGATAAGCTTCAGTTAAGACAATTAGTAAAAACCTATAGATCCAGATACAAACATCTGTATAAGAACTATGTCGTACAGCAAAAATTGAAGTAGTTTCTGACTATCTGAAAATTATACAAGTTGCCCACATTGGGTTTTCAGTAAATAATTTACAATGAAATTTCTTCTTTGCAATGCACTTAAATCTAAAATTATTTCAAAACAGAATTTAAAACTTCATGTATTCCACCACTTTGCTATTAAAAAATATATAAGCCTTTTACTGAACCAAATATCCCAATGAACACAAATTTTGAAGCAATCACAATAAATCCCATGCCTGATGGCACAATGAAATCTAAATAATTCTAAACAGAAAAGCTTTATCTGAAGTTTCCCCCCACATATACCTTTATATACCTTAAAACCATGTACTATACATATATTATACAAACAGTTCTGCTTTAGAACCAAAATAAATAATTGCAGCAAACAAACTTAAAATAAAGTATTTAAATAATTTTACTTAAAATTCTTAAATAAGTTAAAGTTTACAAAATAATAAAGTAACAAATAATCATACCTCAGAAAAAGTTTAAATATGTGAATAAAGATGCTCAAAGTATTCTATTAGCAAAAGAAATGTTCACCAAAACTGAAGAAAAAGAGGGGGAAAGCGGTTGCACTTAGGAATACCAATATTACTAAAAGGCTGGAATTCTTAAGAAGTCTAAGAGAATGTTATACTTGCCAATTCCAGGACTAATATAACATCCTTATGGGTAACTGCATTCCCAGTAACAAGCATTTAAGCATTCAATAAATGTTTTTACTGAATTTGGATTAAACTATGAAATTTTGTACATACAATCAAACATTGTCAAAGGTGCTTAACCATAAAGATAATTCAATATACTGTACTGACACAGGAACCAAAAGTAAAAAACTTGAACAATGCATATACATAAAACAACTTTTTACAACTTTAAAACATTTAGAATACACAAAAAACAATGTAAGCCTATGCAATAACACAATGTATATAATTCAGAGATACATCATTAACAAACAATTCAAAAGATACAGTAGTTAGAATGAAAAGATTCCTATTAGCCAAATGTCGAGGTTTTTAGGCAGTTTTCTAATAAATTTATGAATGAATAGCAGGTCACCTAATCCAAAACTTTAAGTATTATTATATTAAGTAGAAACAGTTAAAAGAAAATAAAAAAAGTATATTGAAAAACTATAATGCAGAGGAAGTCTAGAGTCACTGAAAAATAGACCAACACAACCTAAACCTCTGAACTACTCTAGGGAACAGTGAAGGGATAGCTTAACCTTCTCCATCGAAAGCTGATTTTCCTTATCTAATTCTAGCTTACAAGATAGGCTAATTGCACCATAGTTTGTTGTAATATTTTCTTTGCATTACACTTGAAAATCTACATATTTTTCCACACATAAACCTATCTCCAAAATAATTTCTAATTAAGAATTAGTTTGGTCCTACAGAAAGTTATTTTCCTCAATCTTTCTTTCATTGACTTCAACTACGTAAGAAACCCTAGAGCAGTGCTTGCCAACAGAACTGTAATGTAAGCCACATATTAAATTTTAAATTTTCAAGTAACCACTTTAAAAACAAAAGTAAAATGTTAAAATAAGGTGAGCCCACTGGCATGGCTCAGTAGTTGAGCATTGACGTATGAACCAGGTCATGTTTGTCTCACATGCCGGGTTGTGGGCTTGACCACCAGTGGGGGATGTGCAGGAGGCAGCCAACCAATGATTCTCTCTCATCATTGATGTTTCTATCTCATCCTTCTCCCTTTCTCTTAGAAATCAAAAAATATGTATTTCAGAAGTTGTTATTAAATATATATATTTTTTAAAGATGAAATGAGCCCTACCTTGTTTGGCTCAGTGGATAGAGCATCAGCCTGCAGACTGAAGGGTCCCGGGTTTGATTCCACATGCCCGGGTTGGGGGCTCGATCCCCAGTGGGGAGCATACTGGAGGCAACCGATCAATGGTTCCCTTTCTGAAATTGATGTCTCTATCTCTCTCCCCCTCTCCCTTCCTCTCTGAAATTAATAAAAACATATATAAATATATAAATAAAGGTGAAATGAGTTTTAAAATCTTATTTCACAAAAAATATTCAAAATATCACCTCAACATGTAATCAACACTGAAACATTTTTGATGATATATTTTACATTCTTTTTTTTTCATATTGTTTTTAAAATATGGTATGCATTCAACAGCATATCTCAATTAGGACCAGATTCATTTCAAGTGATTAATAGTTAAATGTGGCTAGCAGTTACTATGTTAGATAGCACAGGTCTAGAGTTCTTACTCTGGTTCTGGGGTACCTGGAAAAATACCAAAAGATCTGATAGGAGAACACAATATTTAACTTGAAAGGCTGGAAAGGGGAACAAGAAAGGTCAATTCAGCTGTTCCCCTTGACTCCAGCAAGCCTAGGGTGATGTCCCAATTTGCTAGGCAAAGTCCTAATGACACCTGTTGTGATGATGTAATTATTAGCAGTATCCCCTGTAATTCTGTGTCACACTTAGGATGATAAATTATATGGTCGCCCTATCTATATCTACAATATCCTCAAAAATAACTCTACGCTCCTTCGAAGGAAATTTAAATTCTAATTCTGATGCCTAGAATATCTAAATTCAAAAGTAAGAACCCTAAATTCACTGCCCTCATCAAAAAAAAAAAGGAAAAAAAATGCTGCTAAAAATTTTTTTTATTTTAAATTGCAGACTTAAAAAAAAAAAAAAAAAAAAAAAGGTTAAGAATTACCTGTTGAACAAGGCATCTGGAAATTGGGATCATTGCTATCCAAAACAGGCAAACAGAACTGGTTACTTGCAGATCCTAGCATAGGATCCTTATCGCTGAGCATGTTCTTCAGCGAGTCCTCTAAGACATTTTGACTTGTACTAAAATCCTCACAGACTTCATTCTCCAGGTTGGATCCTAGAAATAGGGCATCATCTAAGTGTTCAGTAGGAATTAAATGATTAAATGTATCAACTATATCCATGAAGACTTCTCTGTGTGTCTTTCAACCCTATAGAAAGACAAAAAAAATACCATAAGAAATAAAGCTACCAATTGATAATCACCTAAAAACCAAATTATTTTAATAGTTCTGAGTCTAAGAACACACTTAGTATTGAATTGTTTAAAAAAAAAATCCTCAGTTTCAAATATACATTTGGAGATGTTGTAAAACAAGTCATTACTAAATGTTTCTGCATCATGCATGTAGAATATCATTGTACCAGAAACCCTATTAAATGTTTACTCACTCTTAGAAAAAGAAAAAGAAAAACACTATGTATTTACTCCATTAATTTCACACATTTGAAAGAACTACAAGACTTAAACCACAAAAATCATGTTTTCAACCATATTTCCATAAATTAAGAATCAGACATTGGTTTTATAGTAAGTCCATGTAAAAGAGCTAAAGTCAAATCATTTATTGTCCCATACATATAAAATAGCCTTGTTTTATTTATAAAGCACTTAAAGAATAATAATACATAGAGAAAAAGATTCTTGGTGGGATAGTGGGTCAGATAGAAAAACACTATTAAAACTAAATCCAACAAATCAAAACTCATTCAGGAACAGATGTGCACATACACAAACTGAGGGGGGAACCCTTTTAGGTTACAATGAGATAAATGGCAAGACAATAACAAATCAGAGACTTAAATTTACTTGAGTGAATTATGTGAAGCCCATACACATATCAAACTAGTCTCCTATATAAAGTGTACCATACTAGGTATCACTCAGTAGAAGTCATTTATACTCTAGAGGAGCCTCAATTATAAAAAGCTGAATTATTTTCAATATTGGTTACAGAGAAAACTGAAGTGATGTACTTTAGGGAGCAGGGGGGTCAACAAAAATCTAGTAATGTTCAGTTAGCTAGAAAATTCCACTAATTAAGCAAAATTCCAAGGTTTTTTTAGATTAGCCCCAAATCTACCAAAACTTCCTCAAACTGTCCTTGAATTATTTTCTCTATAAAAATGAGGGGGACCCTGGCTCGTTTGGCTCAGTGGATAATGTTGGCCGGCAGACTGAAGGTCTGGATTCGACTCCGATCAAGGGCAAGGGCACGTACCGAGGTTAGGTCCTCAGCGGGAGGCAACCAATTGATTTGTCTCTGTCTGTCTGTCTCTCTCTCTCTCTCCCCCCTCCCTCCCCCTTTTCCTTCCAGTCCCTCTAAAAATCAATGGGAAAATAAAAATGAAAAATTATAAAATAGAAAAAATAAAATAAAAAATAAAGCATAATCTCTATACAGTAAAAAAAAATTATAAAATAAAATAAAAATCAATGCGAAAATATTCTTCGGTGAAGATTAAAAAAAATGAGAAGAGAGGAAGTTGAAAGATATTCTACAATTTACTAGGTAAATCACTACTAAACAGTTTACCTATACTTAATTTATTTCCAATCAGAATAGACTTTTAAGAACAAAAAATGCACTTAAATAATTTAAATGTCTTCCCTAGTCACAAAACACAGCCAAGATTCAAATAGGTTTACAAATTCCACAGCCCAAGGCCATAATCCTTACACACTGAGCTACCGAGCTAAAATTGACTAGATTTGATTCATTAAAGGATCTTGTTTTTTGTTTTAAGAATAGTCTATGATTTTTAGAGAGTGCAGAAGGGAGAAGCAGCATCGTTGTGACAGTGTAACATTGATCAGCTGCTTCCTACACGCCCCCTACTGGGAATGGAGCCCCTCAGCCCAGGCATGTCCTCTGACAGGGAAATGAACCAGCAACCTTTTTGTGCACAGGATGACTCCCAACCAACTGAGCAGCACAGGCCCGGGGTAAAAGCTCTCTTTTAAAAACTATTTTTCCTAATTTTCTAACAAATCAGTGGTTGCCTTGGGCCTTGAATAAGATAGGGATGGACTGCAAAGGAACAGGAAAATACTTTGAAATTTATAAAACTATCCTAAATCTTGATTGTGGTAGTAATTTCATGAGTGTATACAATGAGTGCCCAGATTATTATGATCTCTGAACACTTAATAATCTGGCCACTCAGAGTGTGTGTGTGTGTGTGTGTGTGTGTGTGTGTGTGTGTGTGTATTTTTTTTTTTTTTTTTAGAGGCCCAGTAGATGAATTCATGCATGGGTGGGGTCCAGCCAGCCTGGCCAGGACGAGGGGAAATGGGTGGTTGGCAGGCCTGCCTGCTAGTGGAAATCCTGGTCGAGGGGAAAATTTGCATTATTAGACTTTTATTATATAGTTTTATTATATAGGAAGGATATACCTGAGTGGCCATATTATTATGCATTCAGAGATCATAATAATCTAGCCACACAGTATATATATCTACCAAAATTCATAACCTGTTCATTTTAAATGAATACACTTATTGTAACTGAAGTTTAAGTTTTTTAAAAAGGAAATTTTTCTCACAAAAATTAATCCTTTTCTAAATAGACAGATGTCAACATCTCTTCTACAATGTATTTACACTAAAATAAGGCAATGAAATAAAATATAACTATTTGATGACTTGATAATTATTTCACATGTATTCTCTAATTATAAGATTAAGAGGAAATTATAGCTTACAATGCTGGTGAAAAAGTCAGGGAAAGTTTTAAATTCCTAAAACTACCTAATCCCAGTGCCTAAGTAAGGCTCAATTATCATACATCACCAACACTCCCACTGTTTTCAGGGTCCAAAGACATTTTAGTATAATAAATTTCTGGTAATTAAAAATAATTTACAAAAGGTTACTAAATCTTTACAAATTATGTAGCCAGAATGGCCAATGAATTTATATAGCTGAATGTGCTGAATTCAAAGTTTACAATAGGCCAAAACTACCTCATCTTTGGAGCTGCATCCAAATTAGTAATCCTCTTTTTCTCAGAAGAATCAAAAAAAGAAAAAAGACAATTCCAGCTCTAAAGAAAAAAAATGATTAACACTCCTGTTAAAAATGATATTGTTCAATTCCTAAAAACAAACTCGTTGCCATCTTGCCATAATATGTGTCTGGTAAACTCTACAAACTTCACCAGAGGTCAACCTTCTGTTACCCCAATACTGTCTGTGTGTGCTTTCAAATGGTGGGACCATTCAGAACATTCAAAAATTAAGATCACACACACAGCTTGAAATCACACAGCTATAAGAAATACCAACTTGCCGGCACCGGTTTGGCTCAGTGGTAGAGCGTCGGTCTGTGGACTGAAGGGTCCCGGGTTCGATTCCGGTCAAGGGCATGTACCTTGGTTGCGGGCACATCCCCAGTAGGGGGTGTGCAAGAGGCAGCTGGTCGATGATTCTCTCTCATCGACGTTTCTAGCTCTCTATCCCTTTCTCTTCCTCTCTGTGAAAAATCAATAAAAAAAAAAAATAAATAAAAATACCAGCTCATTCAAAATATTGACCTAGGTGAGAAATATTTTTTCCTCAATAATACTACTGCTATTAGTGAGCAATCCCAAAACTAGAAGTATCTTCAGAGCCCATGGAATATTTTTAAATCTCAACAGTATACAATATTTACTCTTTAAAGATCAATTAAAGGCCCAGCTGGTATGGCTCAATGGTTGAGCATTAACCCATGAACCAAGAGGTCATGGTTTAATTCCAGATCAGGACACACATGCCTGGATTGGCAGCTTGATCCCCAGAAAGAGTGAGCAGGAAGTAGCCCATCAATGATTCTCTCTCATCATTGATGTCTCTAGCCCTCTCTATATCTCCCTTCCCTCTCTCTAAAATCAAAAAAAAAAAAAAAAAAACACATTTAGAATAGATCAATTAAGTAGTAAAGCACACTGTAAATAAGATGGGTGAAACAAAACTTTCCAATTATTTTTTCTCTTTTTTGCCAAAACTAGTATGTAGTATGACTTATAAAGTGTGTTCTCCTGGATTTAAAAAAGCATATTGGGGGCAGGGAGGAGGCCTTCAAACACCGAGAAAGAATAATATACCAGAAAGTTATATTTCTTTTTCAACATATGTTAAGCAGTTACCATTGTGTGAAACACCTTTAATAGGCCAATAACACTGGGAATGTTCACAAGACAAAACAGAGCAAAGCAACTCAAACCTATGGGTCTAAAGATGACAATTTCTACAGGAAACATAACAAAAGTAGTATTTTGTGAAATTATTATAGATTAGTAAGACTGATTTTTCATACAGACATCCCACAAAATTACATTAAAAGTAAGATTTAATAGAGGAATGAAAATTTATTTTTAAAAATCAGTTTCAGATATCAAGTGCTCAGTATGAAAAATAAAAACCCACATGCTAAATTAAAAACAAATGTTAGCTAATATAGTAATATTAACACACATTTAAAATGAAATAGAAAAAGGACAGTAGTTGGAAAACTGGTAAAATCATAAGGTCTGGAATTCAGTTAATAGTAATGTACAAATGTTAATCTCTAATTCTGATAAAAGCACTAGCATGTCAAATAAGACAATAAAAGAAACTGGATAAAGATATATAGAAATTCTATACTATGTTTGCAACTTTTCTATAACTCTAAAATTATTCCAAAATTAGTCCTTTAAAAAAAATAAGCATAATCTAAAATATAATGCCCTGAGATACCTAGTAATGTAAACAGACAAAGATAGTCACATCTAATTAAGAAAGCTTGAGTTAATTAAACAGACTAATACTTAGACAACTTGATTTAAACAAATTCCTATTTCTTACATTGAAGTTTTACTTAAATGCTTCCTCATATTTGGTATTATAAATTTAATAATAAAACGTAACAAGTCTAGGGTCTATTTTAGATGGCTAATAATATTTACATATCCAATTAGACCAGTACATATATGCTAAAATCAGAAATTATTTCCAAATTCACAGTTACACCTCATGGTTACAGAAAATAATGTATTCATCTAAACCAGGAAATTGGATAATCTGCTTAACTCAAACTTACTCATTTATTCATAATGTACTTGTTAAGCATCATAGGTGCCAGTGAAACAAACCCATCTCT